TTACACAAAGAATATGTCTCGTTAAACCTTATCAAGAAAAACATGTGAAAAAATCCTGATGAAGAAAAAAGAGTACATCATTCTTTAAGCACGCTGCAAAAGTTGTTTATTAAAAAGCCTTGTCGGGAAAATTTAATGGAACAAAACTTTGGTAATAGAAAAAAAAAACGTGTATTTACTCTACCTCATAATAATATCACTTGACCTATTCGTCAAACATATTAAATATTTCAAGGATAACATTAATAATCATGTTGATGAATTGAATATATTCGAAACTCAAATTTCATGCATGGACTCATGATTGCATCAACTACGGTATTCACGAAATTTATTATTTTAGGAGTCATATATTATATATTATGACTTCATTTTCTCATTTACTTTTCGCATAAGTATACATCTTCAGATTTTCGTTCTATAAGTTTAGAAATTTCAAGTTTTTCTAGTAAATTCAATTTTACTAGGAGTTCATCCTTTTAATGACCAATTGTTATTTTGTTCCAACGAGTTTATTTTGATTCCTCGCTATTCATAATATAATGTAGTACGTTATGCATAAAAGCGTTGTTGATAACTTTTTCCTTTTCAATTCTATTTCTTTTGCATAACAACATAGTTTATAGAGATATCTCAAATTTCAACATATCATCTACCTAAATTCCTTTTGGAGTTTTATAATTAGTTATGTGATGTAGGAGGATCCGAGTCGAGTGATACTGATTTGTCAGATAACATGATGATGGCGCTGAGATACCATGAGATGGTGGATCGGTGCAAAAATGGGAAGTGAATCGCAATTATTTCCTTAATTGGGAGAATTTGACATGTCTTTGGTAATTTGGCCATAACTTTGACTACGGTTATCGAAATCGCCATTATAACCCCAATCCAGAAAGCTCTTTTCAGCGCGCACATCGTAGTTGTCAGCTATGCTCGGTGGGCATCAATTTTGAGACCAAAATTGTCTGTTTTCCTTTCCAAAATTCAATTTTAAGTTATTTTTTGCTATTTATGGTATTATTTCGTTTCCCTTTTTCCATATGTTAGAAAACTAGAATTGAGCCAAATTTTTTGCAACCTATTTCTTTAACTTAATATTTTATTCTGGTATAATTTTGGGATTTTGCCATTTTTGGTAATTTTCCCATAATTTCGTATTTCACAACTATTTAACCCAGCTTGTGGGTTAATTTTGGTGATTCTGCATTATTAATAATATTGAGTTGATTTCAGAGTATTTTCTCTAGTTTTTGGACATTTTCTATCGTTTCTTTCTTGCGAATCATCTGCTACAACAAGCCAATAAGATAATCACTATCCTACCCATCGTCAGTTCTTTATTGCATCATCTAATGTTTTTTCATTGAAATATTTCTCTTATGAATCTACATCAATAATCATGATATCTTCATGCTAAAGCATCGTTCACACATTTATGGACATGCTCAACTATCAAATCAAGCTTGAATTTTGCCTACCGAAACAGAAATGTTTAAATAGGGGAAACTAATAATTATTCTACAAAATTTTGTAAAAACGAATTTGTTTTTGACTTACCAAAACTCGATCAAATAATTTATTTTTCTCTTCATTGGGTATGTCAATCCACCTTTTGTAACAGAGTGGAGCAAAGATTGAACGACATAGCTGCACTTACTAGCCAGATGTGCTTGCTGATTTTCAGTAGCTCTTCCTAGTTTTTTAGAAATCTCTAATGATATTTTTCCAGCTGTGCTAACGATATAATCAGTGCCATTACCTCTTGTAGGACCACATCCCTTCATTTTCAAAGAATGAGAATCTATGAAATAAATTACTCGAAGAATGAGAATACATAAACAAAAAATGAGATTCCATCAATTAAATGTATACACTATGATGATTTTATACCATAAACATAAAGATAAATTATTACCATTGGAATTGAGGATGGACTCATGTGTCAATGTGGTTGCTTATGATGAATTAAGTTGAGGCTGGGGTGAGATAATGGGGCAGGAACCCATAGAGGTTGAGGTAATGGAGTAGGAACTTGAACATTACTAGTCTTAGACAATGAGGAAGAGATATTAGCTTGAAGAGTAGTCCGGGCTAATGGACCCTTGCACGATGCCTTTGACGAGAAAACCTCTGAAGGTGGCTCATAAGATGTAGTAAAAACTCTATTTCTTCTTGCCAATTCTTGTTCGAGAAGCCATTATCTACTAAGGAAACCCCCCCCCCCAAAAGAGAGAGAGAGAGAGAGAGAGAGAGAGAGAGAGAGAGAGAGAGAGAGAGAGAAACCCAGTAATGGAATAGTCGTTGTTAGGCTAGGATGCTAGGTAGGGGTTTGTTGCCGCTGCAAAACTTTAAAAGATGCCTATCTTGAGTTTGTGGTATATCATAACTTAAAACCATAATTCATGTTGAATAAAACCTAGCTGCAACTATCTACTGGTGATCGCCACCACTCACAGGATCTGTACAGTAACTACAACAACAGCAATAAGATAAGCCCAATTTCCAAAACTATTCCAGCTGAAAAGCAGAATGACAAAAAGAACATTGCAAATATAAAAATTTATACAAATCCAACAACAATTAACTGTTTTCAACAAGGTCCAAGTATTGAAAAGATATTGAAGATAACTGACTTCTTCTTGTCAATGTCTGGTATATCACTTCTTTCTGACTTCTCCACGATAACCTGAATAGAAGAAGCAGATATTATGACACGAACAAACTGAAGGAGATAAAATATCAAGATCCTTAAGTCCTGAATGTGAAAAATGAATTCTTCAGTACCGGAATCCTATCAGGGTACTTCTCCCTGATTCGATCAGCTTCTGCCTGTCGCCTCTCTGCAAAATTAGAATCAATATCATTATTAGACCTTATAAATGAAAATGTAAGAATCTTAAAAAATGTAGAAGAGCTATCATTATCTTTCAATGCTAGAAAGGATAATAAAATAAGACAAATAACTACTCACAAACCATCAAGCTGATTATATTGCTTCAAAGATGAAACATAAGCACAATTAGAAACATGCTGAATTGCAGCAGTCAAGCAATTATGTTCCATGTTTGAATCAACAAGTAGAGCCATTTTTCAAATCTCAAGGAGCCCACGCACATCACATGGGTTTTGTTATAGAACCTATTTTGTAACATGTTTCCAACCATTAGACAACATGAAGATGGATTATCGTTAACAAATTTATCTTAGCCATGATGGTGAGAAGGTTCTCAACTTACTACGATAATTGAAATTCACATACCAGAGAAGATGAGCTTGCATTTGGAAAGAATTCAAATTTGACGCGCACTCTAATTAAAAATTCATCATTCGTTAAAAATAACGATAAATCATCCATTCGAGTTATTTTTTCTCGTACAGCACTACAAATACAAAAAACACATATCACACCATATGCGTAATGTCTCGACTCAACTAAGTCCCATTTCATATGAACTTAACACAAGTACGATCACAAATCGATGACCCACGACACAGAAGTTCAAAGAAAAATGGAACTGAAGAGATTTTTGGTGCGATCTGACTTGCTTCAAATCAATTATATGCAATGATTATCAATCAAATCAAAAGAATCAAAATTTCATTAAAAAAATGTTAATCAAAGAGCAGGTGATCGGAGAACAAGGGTAACAGTGCACTTACCGAGGGGGTGTTCCAACTTGAAAGAGCTCTTGGCCATGGCGACTGGTAAAAGTTACAATTCGGACGATTAGTTCAGCTGCGAGTGAAAGGCAAAGGAGAAGACGCAATTTCTAGGGTTGGTTGTCTTCAAAGAGAAAATTAATTATTAATTTAAAAGAAAAGCCTGAAAAGGAGACTTATCCTTTCAGTGTCGGACGCATGGCAGAAGTATAATTTAGGATAAAAACTTTCGTTGGGGGTATATTGCATTATTCATCCCCAATGTTTGGGTAAAGTGGCAGATCTACCCTCAATTTTTTTGTCCGATTTTTGTCCCTGACCTTTAGAAATATTAGCAAATCTAACCACTTGTGAGTTGTGCATTAAATTTGTGAAAAACGACAAAACATTACGACTTTACCTTTAACTTAAATAAATGAATAATTGGTACAGAACTCCCTGAACTTTGTCCCCTACCGCAGAACACTCCCTTTCTTTTTATTATGATGAAAAATCCCCCTAAACGGTAGTGCAAAATACAACATTTTTATTCGTTTTTTCAATAAAGCCTCGTGAAATTATGAATATACCCTCCTATTAATAGAATAAAAAGAATTAATTACAATCATAGTCCCAAAATTTTTTAAAAATTACGAACAAGTCTCAAATGAATACTTTACAAATTTATAATTAGTGGTAGTCTTGTAATCTTTTAAACATGGAACAGACCTATATACTTAATTTTCTCCGTAAGTATTATCAAATCCTCCTACCAAACAATCATTCAAAAGTTCTACAAGCCGGAATAAGTCATTAACTATATTCATTGAGCGTCTAGCACGCTGATCAGTGATGACCCTCACTATAGGCGAGGTAAGGGATTACCTAAGGGCCCACTTTTGTCAAGGCCCAAAAAAAAATTGTTTGTTTTTTTATTTTACATGTATTTTTAAATATATATATATATATATATATATAGAGAGAGAGAGAGAGTTTCATATTTGAAATTAGTCTAAAGCCCCCAAAATCACAAGGTCGACCTTGACTCTGATGAAAACAACAATATGGTGAAAAAAAAAAAACGGGTGTTGCCGATTAAAGTTTCTGTCAGCACAAAGATCAGTATAAAGTTATAAACTTCATATCCTCAGCTGAGTTGAAAATAGAAAAATCATGAACCCAAGAACGTGTCACATGTGAGAGAGAAACTATTATAATATAAAGCAGCAAAAAAGCTTGCTCAAGAATACAAACTTATTATGAGTTCCACTAAAGCCATAATGATCCAGAAAAAGAGCATATATATATATATATAATGATCCAAAAAAAGAGCTTATAATATAAAGCAGCAAAAAAGCTTGCTCAAGAATACAAACTTATTATGAGTTCCACTAAAGCCATAATGATCCAGAAAAAGGCTCTTACAGCATAGCAAGAACATTTTTACATTGCTCCTAGTAAGGTTGCTACAATAATATTTCTCCTTTGTTACAATTGAGCAGATTTCGACTGCAACCTCTATCTCCATCTTAATATCACATATACATTACAAGTGAGTACAACGTGCAAATCTCTGAAATGTCGTGTACAGAACAGACTTCCAAGGGTGGGACAGAAAGGTGCATTTGCACTCCACAACCATAAAGTGCTCTAAAGCCAAATAGTCCTTGAATTCCAGAGATTGAAGAAATTTGATGCTGATCAGAAAATTGCATTCCACAGAGTTTTCTCACCTTCGCCGCATCTTCTGTGAACCTCCTTAATTCTATCGGCAGAATTGCAAATTCCACTGCAGCTCCAGTCGAAGGAAGCAACACAGATGTTGCCTGCCTGAGCCTTCCACTCGCAATCTGTGGTAAAATCAACATACATTTAAGGAAATTAGCAAATACACATTCTGTTAATTATGTTGTTTCTTCCAAATACACATTATGTTAATTATGTTGTTTCTTCTTACTTTTAGGAGTAATATACATGGCTAAGAATGCTTTCATTCAGCATTCCTTCTTAATGATGACTACTGATTTTTTAAGTACCTATGACGGTGAGGAGCGATTGAGGGAACTCAGCCCACACATCCCAGAAAATCGAAGAAGAATGACACCCAGCCAGATTCAGCAAAAAGATCCAAGAAGCTTCATAACAGTACTAAAAGTACGTATTTATTGACTGAAGATTTTGACTAACAACAAAGTTCATAAGTTCTAATAGCTCACATGGATGTATAGGATTGAGATAAAAGCATTTGCAAGCGGAGTTACATTGGGTAAGTGGGTTACAGTTCAAAAAACAAAAGGATGATGAATTTGTCAGTAGATTTTGAAGTTAAAGTGGGCGGCCAGGTATTTGGTTGTTTTGTGGACAACTTCTCGAACATAAGCATGCAATGGCAAAATCAAGTTTGGCAAGTTCCCATGAGATAGATTTATAGCGAATCATCTGCCTCTGTAGGAGAAACTTTGTGCAGATGCATAGAGATCTTAAGGCCGAGATTATCTGTAGATATGACTCCAGCAAAACACAGGTTCAAGGTCGAGCATTAAAACTTCTTCAAATAAGACGTAAGCAGATAAGAAAATTCATGTTCTTGAGCAGTGTTCTAAACGATGATGAAAACGTGGGGCCTAGGCATGAGACATGAAGAAGGCGTCCCATGTATGAAAAAGACGTGAAAAAGCCACTTTGACCACTTAAATTGTGGGCTGAGGTGGCAAAAGTCATAACTAATACAGTCCTAGCCGTCAAAGGCACCATTACTGTGAACCTAGGCTCCAAAGGCGCATACCTTTAATTTTTTTTCATTTTTGTTTAAAGTAAAATAAACTAATTAAATAAAGAGACTCATTATTGATAATCGTAGAGTAATTGAACAATATAAAATATAAAGAAAAGCCTTATTACGCCTAGGCTTGTAAGGCTCGACCTTGCCATGCCTTACACTTTTTAGAAACTTGCCCTTGAGAGCCTTCCAGTTGTTCTAATATAAAGGAACTTTTCTAACAGAAGCATTCTTGGAAGCTGATGTCTCAGAATTTGGTATTTTTTTCATCTTTCTTTCTTTGTTTTTCTCATTTCTTTCTTTTCCTTTTCAAGGGGTGAGCGTGGGTTAGAGTAAGTTAAATATTACCAGGGGGTGTTCCACAACATAATCTCCTGTCATCTATATGCTCCACATCCAATCCGATGAACCAAGATCCCAGCGAAACATCTTCATTTGCGTACTTGTGCAGAAGGTGCCTAAAATAATTAAAATTACAAATCAACAAGGCGGTACCAGGAAGCATGGAAAAGAAATAAAAATCCCAGAAAAAACAAACACTCACTGGTTTATTGATACATAAGTAGCCAAATCTTTTGAAATGGCATATAACTGCCCTGTAGCATGACGAAAATATTTATTTCCATGCTCGCCAAATTTCCAATACTCCGGTTCATGATATCTTACACCCCTGTTAATGGATGGACCAAGAAAGAAATATAAGGTGACGTGCACCTCCTTGGTATTTACAATGAGATGAACTTTTAGGAAGTTTATACTTACTTTTGAGCAAGAACAGGACCAGATTTCATGCATCCAATATACACCCTTGGTTTCGAGCGATGCCGAGCTAGAGTTGCTCCTAATGTTGCTACAGTTCATTTCCACAAATTGTCAAGTGAGTGCACTGAGAAGCGTGTACACAGCAGACTACAAATGAAAAACTTTTGCTCCCCTTCAGTGATTGAAACAAGGAGAAAAATACATGGTTGGTGTGTGCTACCAATTAAAAAAATGTTTACAGGGCAAAATACAGGAGGATTGACAACAAAAAAGAGGAAATATAATGGCCTGCTCGGTGATTTCTTTGACAATAAGCAAGCAAAAAGCACCATGCAAATACAAGCAATGTTAAAAAGAGAGAATATCTTAGATGGAATTTCTTAAAGATTAAATTCTAAATAACAACAAGATAACATTAAAGGGAACAATGTTAGCATTTACCTATATTTACGTGTACATCATCATCAACTTTGACATAGAAATCCGCATCCCAAAGAGCAACCGCAGTAGTAAAATAGGCCTTTGTCTTGGCAGATAGTTCCAGGTATCCCTCAACATGTTCCTAGACAAAAAACTATTTATAAGACAGGCCACGCAACATTTATACATACATACATACATTATACATACATACATATACACACACACACACACACACACATATATACGTACATGTACGTATATATATATTTATATATATATACACACACACACACACAGATATATATGTATATGTATGTGTGTGTGTGTGTGTGTGTGTGTGTGTGTGTGTGTGTATATATATATGTATGTATATGTATATATATATGTATGTATATGTATATGTGTGTGTGTGTGTATATATATATATGTATATGTATGTGTGTGTGTGTGTGTGTGTGTGTATATATATATGAAACCAGAAGTAATGACAATACCAGTCTCAAAAGGTCTCCGTGTTTCCTATCTTCTGCTTCAATAGCTCTATCAAGAATGCCACCTGATGTTGCACTGGTGACCAGAGTTTCAAATGTGAAATGAAGGATAGTTAGATATTGTTCCTTGTTAAAATGTACATGAAATTAAAATGAGTGTGCATGATCCCCAAAAAAAAAATTAAGATGAATGTTCATTCTGATCAAGTGCTGTGAGATAAAAGTTTGCACTTGTAAAAATGCTCCTCTAAGCCCCTAGAGTTATTTAACTCCATTACAACAATATGCTCTATGTATCAAATCCATCTGGAAGTAGAATTAGTTCCCAAAAAAATGAAACGAAGAAAAGAAAAGGTACCAAAACCAACCAACAAGTATGCTAGACATTTACATCAGGGAATTGCACAAGTGAAAGATCTCAGTCAGCTGACAATCAACATATATAAAAAATTATCTCATGCAAAGGATATAGTTAACAAATATTTTGAAGGGAAAATGCCATATGTATGTAAGTGAGAGTTAACGTGAACTCCAAATATCTGCATCCCACCTGTGTCCAATCACAAAGCGAATTATAATGCCCTTTTCTTCCTCAAGCTTTTTGCGTTTATCACCTGATTTGTCCAACAAATAAGAATATGGAATCAATATGGTAAGCAGCAAACAAAAAACCCTGGAGGAGACGAAAGTACAGAAGTTTTACGCACCTTGAGGCATCCAAGTAGCACGGACAGAATCTCGCCTCTTTCGGCTGCTAAAAGCAGTGTTTATACCTACTACCATCAAATATTTTCTTTTCTTGACCAATGCCGGAATCTTGACGTCTTCAGATATGGGGGAACCACTAAGTAAGGAATCTTGCACAGCCCTGGCCGCAGCTAATTCCATCTCCAAATTTGAAATAGTTTTATCCAGGGTCCTGCATTCGTTATGGCCATGAATTGGAAATTTGGTTGAAATGTAAACTGAAATATAACCGACTTCAAGACAAGGGGCATACTGTATCGCATCATGCGTCTTTGAAACTTCACCTAATACATCTTTGGGTCCTCCTTTTACATCCTTCTAAAAATAGAAAACAACTAAATTAATTTTCTCTGAAACTCTATCCAGGCTTCTTTTCATATGCATTAAGTTTATAGCAGTGTAGCGCTTAGGCTGATTCGTGCTGATGGAAGTGAAGATAAATTTATTGGAATTGGTTACCAGTACTCACCAGTCTTGGATTGCATCCATCTGAAACCAACTTAAGCTTATCATCTGTAACTTCTGTTGGCCTCGACGTATCTTTAGCTTCTGGCAGTGTCCACATCCTATTAAAAATACATTCAAATAATAGTTATGCCAGTGTACGAATCTCTACAAAGCAAGTTGAGCAGATGGACAAATTGTTGAAAGAAAATTTTGCCCCTATAACAGTGTGGGGAAATGCAGAACTCACGAGTACGATCAAGAGACGCAGTAACATTATAAGCTAAATTCGGTTTTATGTATGAACTTCCAGATAATGAAGCCCATTGGTCTAGCATTTCTGGGACTCCACTTTTAAATACTTAAAGCTTACAAATTTGATGCGATAACAAAAGGCATGCATATTTCAATTTCAGTTCGAGAAATATATTGTGTTGTAAAACCTGATTTTTGTTAACCTTTAAAAGAATCATAATCCAGTCTATCTTGAGATCCAAATTCAAATCCAATTTAGGGGAAAAATTGGGGGAAATGGGTTTAATTTTAAGGAGTTAGGACTTGAGCCAAATCCCAAATTTCCCAAACAGAACCCTAAAAAATGGAATATTTCGTGGAAATTTGCAATCTTGTGAATTTATCCTTTTATTATTAGATCATAATCTAATCCAATACATTGAATGCCATCATTGCTTTGATACCAAGCAAATATTATTACCACTATAAACAATCATAAGTGCCATTTCCCAAACCACCATACACCAAAACGATGACCTATATCAAGAACCTATATTATATATAAACTGATCAAATTCTAGTAACTCACTAAAAATTTCAATGCCCAGATGATCAAATTGAACTAATTGACCAGGAAATTGAAAGAACAATCAAGAACTCAAACCTGTCGGTGAATAGCATTCCAGCACAGAAGCATCCAATACACAGAAAAAGAGTGAATTTTCTTGAAACGACATTCTTCGTAGTTGACTCAACTCCTCTGCTCTTCCAAGACATTTTGCTCTTCTTTAATTCAAGTTAAAAGTTGCTTAATTTAAGCACAACCCATTAAAAATCTTCACCCAACACAGATAAACACCTCGAGCAACAGATCCAACTGATCGAATCTTTCACTTCACAAGCACCAGGCAACCGGCTAATTCGAACAACCAAAAATTCAATAAAACAGTAGTCAAATCAAGAGAATTGATAAGAAGAATTCATATCATACAACATTGTTACACCCTCTCTCTCTTCTCTATGAAAATTCACCCAATTTTTTCCAATTAATTGATGATCAAGTCGACCAACTGTTTGTATAAATGACTCTCTCAATGTTATGCAAGTATATGTATGTATATGTACGGGTGTAGTGGAATCTGAGAAGAAGAAGATGGAAGGAGGGGAGAGTTGGGGCGTGGAATTTGCGAAGAGTTGAAGACAGACACCGCCTACCCGACTGCACTCCGTTCCAAAGACTGATTTTGCATTTTAATAAAGAAATTTCTTAAGTACTTTGTCGTAAACAAACGTCCCATTTTGTGTCCGCCTGTCGGTGAACTTATCTTTTACTTTGTTTGGAAATTATTTTATTTTAGCTGAATACTACTTTTAAAGTCAAATTTTAATTTTAATTATCCACTTATTTACTATTTATTTAAAAAATAAAATATAACAGAAATAAAATGATACACACACAGTGAAAAAATATGAGTGACCTTGTGTGGTTTTGTGTGTGTGTGTTTTTTTTCCCTATATCTTTGGAAAGTAAAATTAGTATGAAAAAAGATTAAGCCGTAAGGCTGTGGTGTCCCTGAATATAGGCAATCGCTTAAACTCTCGCTTTGATGAGGGCTCCAAATTATGTAAAGTTAATTTGTTGGTTGAAGAAAAATGAAAATTATACTTACGAAATTCTGAAAATAAAATTCTCATTATACTTATGAAATTCTAAAAATAAAATTAACGTATACAAACATAAGAAACTAATAAAAATTGAAAATACAAAAATCTTTAAAATATATGTGTGTGTAACAAACTTATCACTTACATTTATTATCACAAACATTACTTTCCCTATTTATAATTAAGTTGACATTTTATCTTCTAAACATTTATTTTCTTTTTTTAACCAAACAAAGGGTCTCTTGCCTTTTGAAATTTCATGTCCAACAACCACCCGTCATTATCTTTTCAACCCAACAAGATATAAATTATTTTACTTTGAATTAAAATTTTGAAAATTCAACGTAATTTGGTTTGATATCGTTGCTATTGTTACAATCTTACATGTTTCTTTCTTTCTCTCTTTTCTCTCTTTTCTTTTTTTCTCTCTTTTCTTTTTTTCTCTCTTGTTTTCAAAACATATACAACAGAATATATAGGTTGTTATTACATTATTTTGTTTTAATCTTATGATAATTATATTTTTAAATATTTGCTGAAAGTACTTTAAATTTAATAATTCTTTATTCTTGTTCATTCAGATACTTCTTATTTTAAGTTAATTTTTATAAATTTATACAAAATTAGAAGCTCATTTATATTTGATCATTATTTTCATTATTTTGTTATGCTATCTTTTGCAATCATATTCTCTAATTTTGTACATAAATCACTCAAACGTATATTCAATTTTATTTGAAATAGTTGTAGTGAGGAAATAATCATACAAACAAGCATACACCTTTGTCATTGTATTGTAATTCTGTTTGTCAAACCTTACTTGTGATTTGTATTGTTAGTTGAAATTTGACATTTTGTTTATTTTCTTTTCAAATTTTGGGGCCTAGTTGTATGTGTTAGATTCTTTATAATTATATTAAACCCCTGTTTGGCATCAATTAAAATTTAGATTTTAATCTAAGTCAAAATTAACGATTAATTTTAACCATATATTTTATGGGTTCCAAAACTTTAAATCCACATATTCTATCTACTTCTATCAAAAAATACTAAAAAATTGATTTTAAGGATTGTTTGAACCCAGTTTTTCTCAAAAAAAAAAGTATTTTGAAATAATGTTACAGTAGAGAATTTTTGATTAAAAAATAAGAAAAAGTTTTGGGTTTGTATGTAATATTATTTTATTGAGAAATGTATGGTTGAAATAGTGTCAAATCACTGTTGAATAATGTATTTTGGTGAAAAATAGGATTCAAACAAGGGTTTAATCTCCATCAAACAGGCTAAAACTCTATACAAGGAGAGTCAAAATTGAATTTCAGAAAATTGAATTGCCTAAAACTTGTTTTGTTAGGAATTGTTAATTAAATGTGTTTTATTGATATAATTTTTCACCTAAAAAATGTTGAAATTTTGGATCTTTTAGTATTCGTTTGACTTTGTTTTTTATGAAAATTGTTAATTAAAGAAATAATTTTTTTTACAATTATGGATAGATTTTGTTCTCATTGCTGAAAGTAAAAAATAAAAAATAAAGTTGGAAAACCCAATGGTGGGAATTGGTTTTCCACCAATTGAAAGAAAAAATGCAAGTGTTGGGGAAAGGGAAAATCAATTCCATGAAAAATTATTATAATCAAACACACCAAAAGGTGGAAAATTTATTTTTCATGGAAATTTTTTCATATCAAACACAGCCTAAATATTTGATTTTAATCCTCATCAAACATGAGCTAAAATTAAGAGTAAATTGAATGTTGAAATGAAAATTTATTCATGTTATTTTACTCTAAATTTACTAAAAATAAAATTTGAGCTTATTTGACAAAGATTTTGATAAAATTTGATTAAATGTATAGTTTAAAAATTGATAAAAATTATGAAACTCATAAATATATGATTAAAATTGAAGTTTGATAAATTAAAATTTTGAAAGAATTTTATCAAATAGGCACTTGTTTGTTTATATTATTTTTTTGTGATTTAATTATTATTTTTCTTGGATCTCATCTGATTAATGATTAATTGCAATGAACATTTCAATGATATGTAGAGAGTACACATGGTGTAGGTGTAAGGAACGTAGCTGTCCCTTAATGATGAATTTTTATAGTTAACTTCAACTATTTACCATAATGATCGGCCTTTTTGCTTGTAAAATTATGGGACTTTCCTAATCTCATACCATTTAGGGCATGTTTGATGATTGAGCCCTATTCTTTAACTTTAACCAAAAAAATATCATTTTTAATCATAAATTTTTTCAATTAAATAATTTTACACGTAAATTCAAAATTTTATTTACTCTTTAACTAAAAAAATCACATTTTTATAAAATCTGTTATCCAAAAATGAGGTTCAAATAGAGGAGGGATGACGAGTATTTTTTGGAAATGAGTGTTAAGTAGTAGGAAAATTAGGTCCACGTGCGAACTTATTTTGGGAGAACGTAGGATTGAATTGAAGAAGAGTTAATTTTAAAAAATTTGTACCAAATAGGGATTTATTTTCTATTAATCCATACACATCATGAATAATCACCTTGTATATTACCCTATTTAAATCTCGCCTTTTTTTTTTCAACCAATGTATCTAGATCGCAAAAATAGTCTTTTTATAGCAAATATCTCTATGATTTATTTCATTCCAAGTGAAGAATAAAAAATCTAATTTTTTATTTGACCTTTTCTCATCGACATGTTTGGGCTTATGCGAAAAATGTTCCTCAAACTCGTTTTTAACCACATATTTTTTCAATAAAATACTTTTGTACGTAAATTTAAAAGTTTTTTATATTTTTTAACCACATATTCTCTAAAAAAAAACGTTTATTATAAAATATATTCCAAAAATGTGGCTCTCAATAAATCTAAAATCATTTATGTGAATTTTGATAAAATTGTCATTGTAATGTGTTACCAATTGCTCAGGATTGTTGTACCTTAATTCATCTCATCTAGTTAAGTTGTCAATAGCTTGAGTTGGTGGACAGTGGGCCATATATTACTTCTTACCAAACTCACTCCATGGAAATAATTAAACATAACTCTTGTAAAATGGTGCAGATTCCCTAGTCCCAGTAGGTACACTTACCATATGCATTGTCTCAAATTTATAGACGACAAACAAAAAAAAAAAAAAA